AAAAAAATTATCCAAATTCCTTCCAAGAAATTGTTGTTTTTCACCTCAAATTTCTTATTTTTGTAGCTCCCAAATCTCCTTTTTTCCCTCAAAGATTCAATCTTCTTTATTAAGGATCTGTATCTGTATGTGCGGGGCTGAATTGGAATTCAGGAGGCGTAGAATTCTAGAATTCTCCATCGGATCAACGACCCGGCACAAATGAGTGAAGGTTAGGGCGTTTATTGCGCCCATATCATCGAGATCGGCATCGGGGTTGTAAATGGCGGCGCCGAGGGTTCTGATGGTGGACACGGGGCGATTGGGGAGAGATGAGGAGAAGAGCCTGGACGCCGGCTCCGGCGAGGTCTCGCCGTCGGGCAAGCGGTTCAAGGAAGCCAAGTTTCCCCTCAGCCGCTGGGAATTCGCGGCGGCGCTCGGCGTTTTCGGTGTCTGCTCCACCGGATTGTTCTGCATCTACTTGGCAATGCCGGCCGCCGGTAATGGGAAACTCAAGCTGCCACGCACAGCCGCCGATCTCCGATTGCTCAAGTACTTCTTTCAGTTCATTTTATTTTCACTTTCTCTCATGCTTTGATTTGCTTATATTTATTTATGGTCAAAAAAGGTGTTAGATTTTTCATTCTTTTAGAACTGATTGAACTCTTTGAACTGTTCTTTGTTATTTCTTATGTTATGTTCTTATAACTTTCAATTTCTTTCCAATTGAGGTCTTTTTGTTAGATTGGAGTTTAAATGAAAGGGTAAAGTAGTCATTTCATGTGCTTAATGTATAATTCTTCGTCTCTGGTATGCTCGTATGCTCGAAGAACGAAATTCCATTAGGGATTAAGCAATTAAGTGAATCTGATGCCCAAAGTCGCCTATACAAGGAAGAAAATACCAAAGAATTATACATTAGGCAGATGAAATGACTACTTTACCCTTTCATTTAAAGTCCATTTTACCGTAATCTGACGAAAGGACCTCAATTGGGGAAAGAAATTGGAAGTCAAGGGATGTAAATTGTTCAAATTAAAAGTCGGGGACTAATTTTGAAAAATCAATATAGTCGGAGGACCATTGCTGGAATTAACTCTTTTAGAACTGTTAGAACTGTTCTTTGTTATTTCTTATGTTATGTTCTTATAACTGTTTTTTCAGAGACCACCTAGTGACATATGCCGAGGTTTACCCTGCAAGATTCATTACGGGTTACTGCTCGACGTATATATTCATGCAGACGTTTATGATTCCCGGGACAATTTTCATGTCCTTACTAGCCGGAGCGCTTTTTGGCGTTCCTAAAGGGGTTTTCTTGGTTATCTTCAATGCAACAGCCGGGGCCTCGTCCTGCTATTTTCTGTCGAGATTAATTGGCCGGCCTATAGTTAATTGGCTATGGCCCGAAAAGTTGAGATTTTTCCAAGCAGAGGTAGGTGAAAATACGAGATTTGTGCTAACGTGTACTTCGTTGTTTACTGGTTTCGTTCTCTGGATTTTTGGAACGTATTGACGTGAGATATTGTGATTGTAGATTGGAAAGCGTAGGGATACGTTACTCAACTACATGCTCTTTTTGAGGGTAACTCCGACCTTGCCAAACCTTTTTATCAATTTGGCGTCTCCGATTGTGGATATACCCTTCCACGTTTTCTTTCTGGCCACCGTAATTGGACTCATTCCCGCCGCCTACATTACTGTCCGGGTAAGTCTTTTCCAACTTCTGGTTGTCTCGTTTTCATTAGGGTTGTGACCGTAAGAGATTAAGGATGTTTTATGAACTTACAAAATTATCATATTTCTAAAGTTTGTTCTTTTGTATCTCGTATGAATCTCATAGTTGTTGTTCCTGCTGTTTTCGTTCGTGTATATAATCAGGCTGGGCTTGCCCTTGGGGATTTGCAGTCGGTAAAAGATCTATACGATTTCAAGACCTTGTCGATTCTTTTCCTCATCGGTTGTGTCATTATATTTCCGACCCTTTTGAAGAGGAAGCGTATATACGAATAGAACTGTCGAGAAACTGTCACTTAGTGCATCTGATCCTCTGCAGAAGAAGAGATTTAAGATTAATTTTAACCATTAGGAGAAAGAAAAGAAGAAACGTATGTTTAACTTTGTAACAGGTGATTTTGGTGACTTGAACAACCTAGGAGTTTGATTGTTGTAATATCATGTGTATAAGCTAAATGTGTTGTGATATAATTGTACTGTTTAGCTTGGCTTAATAATGCATTTTGTATAGTAGTTTCCAAAATGAATGATGGAATGCTTAAAAAGGTTGTCTGGATTTCTACAATCTTGTGTGATCTTTAACTTCCTAGATACATAGCTATTAATTGTCTGGTTTTCTATCAGTTCGAGTTTTTAATTACACTTTTTAAAGTTCAAGGGCCTAATTGCACTTTTGAGTAAAATTTAAAGGTCTATTTGACTATTTTTCCTAATTATAAATGAGAGTAAAGTTTAAGGGTTTATTTAACCATTTTTTCCAATTATAAATGATAGAATATAGTTCACAAAATTGATATAATTAGGCACGATTCTTCACCATGGTTTGAGGCAATCAACTATAGGTAACTTATGTTGATTTATCTCTGTTAAATTAACATGAAAAAGAATCGATAATAAAGAAAGACAAAATTTTGATTCAACAATGTACCTACAGAAGCGAAGCTATTCTTTTATACAATCAACCTATTTATATGCATCTTTAAACATGGTACATGTATAAAATTACCTCTGCATTGTACCCAACAGAGGCCACATTATGACTACAAAGGAAAAACGTAACCTAGATAGATGTTAGTCAATTTGTCCAACACCTATCATATTCCAATACATATGAAACATACACAACAATTTCCTAGTGAATTGTGATCCTTTGTTGGCTAGGATCACAAGGCAAACTTCACCTGAAACTCACATTTGAGTAGCGGCTATAAACTTTCCCATAAACCAAAGAAATATTATTTCCTAGTAACCTAAGTTGAGCAAAACACATCAATAAACTTTCCCATAAACTAAAGAAATATTATTTCCAGTAACCTAAGTTGACCAAAACTCATCAATAAAGTATATGCAGAGACAAAGGACACAAATGGGAGTCAATAATGTCAATCAGAACTTAAAAATTTGATTGTAGCATTAATCATATACATGAGAAGCCATACTGCAACAATAGCACAAAACAGTAACCCTTTAATGTATGAGCATTGTAGCACTACTCTTGAAAGTTGAAAAGAATCTACAATACTCTCTACCTTCATATGAGCAAAGAAATAGAGACAACATACAAGAAATCAGGGAAACAGCAATCTATGAAACTACATACGTTCTCAAAGAACCGAACAAAACATGTCTTGAGGAAACAGCGGTTTACAAGTTATTGGGTAGTTTCACTATCCGGAAGTGTGGAAGCGGGATAGTCTTCGTATCCTGTGATACCCAAGATTCTTATCCGTGTAATTGGCTGCATAGTTCAAAAATCGCATCATGAAGAGACCAACTAGACTAGTTTGTAACCTTTACTCGAATGGCTTATCAAGATGTCGAGAAAAAAGAGCCCTGTCATACCTGTCGATGACCGATTTTCCTTTTGTAGTTCTTCTTCTTCTTGTACTTGAATACAATGACTTTATCGTCCAATAACTACGTGAAAAGATAGCGTTGAGACATTAGTGGATAAACATAAATATCCGGCAATAGTAGTATGAAGATAACAACGAGATTAACCAGCTTGGTTGGCGTGAGTGGCCATGCACTCTCGTCCCTTAAGAGAGGTTGGGAGTTCGAACCCCCTCTCATATGAAAAAATCAATCTGGCCAACACTTTGCCCCTGAATTGGGCCGGCCCGGTGCGAACAGGGATTAGTCCGAGTAATTGGGCCGGCCCGGTGCGAACAGAGATTAGTTCGAGTATGGTATGGGCTTAAAGGTGCCTTTTACAGTTAGGGCCTGCTCAGGACACCTCGTGGTCTGATATCAAAAAGATAACAACGAGATTGATGCCAAACCTGCTCTTCAACCACAGCATGAACTGCTGCATTAGTTACCACGGGTTTTCCAATCCAAGTGCTTGTTCTGCTTCCTACCAGTAATACTTTGTTTAGAATGATCTGCAACGGGATTAAAGCGTTCAGATTTCAAATAAAAAATTCATAAGCTCGGGAGCGTTTTGATCAGCAAAATAAGAAAACGAACAATTCTCACTTTGTCATTGACATTTGCACCCTTTAGCCGCTGGGTATAGAGGTACCGTCCAGGAAAGACAATATATTGACGAGATCCAACCTACTCGATAAAAAAAATAATCCCAAAACTAACAATTCAGTCTAAAAGTCAGTATAATCATATTGAACAACACCTTAGTTTTCAACTTCAAAAAGACGTACTAATTCAAACCACTGGAAATATATTGAGCAAATTTTTTTACATCATGGAAATTCGAGCTCTATGGAACCTAAAAAAACTCCAAAAGTATCAAAGATGCCATCAAATCGGTGGGGATTGCAAACCTATCAACCACCCACCTTTTGCAAAGACAGAATTCCAAGTACCAAAAAGATCCGGAGAAGTATATATCAATCAGTTTGACACCAATGCAGTAAAAAAAAACCACTTATAATACATAACCTTGACAAGTTTCACCATTCTTGAAAGTTTGGTATCCCCTAAGTGTACGCCAGCATTATAGTGAGTTATTCCACACGGCACAACATTCCTTTATTTTCACATTATCAGCCTTATTTCCCCAACAATATAGAAGTGAATTCACCACTACCAATGCAGGGGGCGTCGCCCCCCAAGATTAACACAGCAATTCTGGTCTCCGTGCACCCGAAGCAGTGATTGGAACTTACACAACATTCTCAAAGTGAAAAAGGGACAAGAAAGAGATCAGACAATTTCTGTTTGATGTCTAAAACTCAAGAATGCCCAGCTTAAATACTAGAAGCCAAGCAATAATGGCAATATATTATCTAAACAAATCTTGGCCACTACCAATTAGGCCAATATACAACTCCCCACAAGAAGTCGAACTTGGAACCTTATCGTCACCAAGCCAACTTCCCAACCAATTTGGGTGTTTTTTCCAACAATACTTACAACAATAAAGCTAAAATCTCCCACTAGTTCAAAGGCAAAGGTGCCCCAAGAATTCTATCCTCCATCATTCACCAAGTTATAGCACTTCCTCATCAACCAACAACAGAATTCTTGTTCTTTTTTACTTCTCAATCACCATTTTCTATTCCTACAATCCTTCAAGGACACAAAGAACTCGAGTACACAGCTAGAAGAAAGAATGACACTGAGCTCTAGCAAACTTCTCATCCATGAATATTGTAAATTTGTAATTACTGCCAATCAAGATTACTCCAATAAAGAGTGAATTCAACACAATGCACACAGATAAACAACAGACACACATAAACATAAGCACAATTTGATAAAATGTAGGTATACTATGAAGAATTGAGGATGCAACAACACACCATAACAACAGCAAATATTTCGTCCCTCTTGGGTTCCAGCGCCAGCGGGTCGGAGACTATTGTTTCCGTTTGGAGTTCAGATTCGAATACCGGAGACTCGGGCTCGGCTTCAGCCACCGAAGACCCGGAATCTGAGAATTTGGCGACAAAAGGGGATGTAGACAGCGGTTTGGGGGAGGAGCTGAGCCTGAGGGAAGAGAGAGAGTGAGAGAGAAATGGGACATTGGGGTTGGGCCTAGAGAGAGAAAGGTTCGGTCTTTGCTTCTGGGCTATGGCCGCTGAGAGAGAAGAAGGAGATGAGTAGAGGGAAACGCTCGCCATTGCAGAACAGAGAAGAGCTTTTTGCGTCTCTGTTAGCTCTTTGTGCCAAACATCGACTTATCCTATCTGTTTGCTCTTAGCGAAATGACAACATTGCCCAAAGGGAAGGTTTTTGTTTTCAATAATTAAGTAAAAAAGAAAAACAAAATAGCACAATTTGTTTTTTAATATATTTTTGTAACCTAAGTTTCCCGATATTGTTGGACTATATCATGGACCCAAATAATCCAATCTAGCTAACCTGTAACATAGGCTCATGAGGAGATAAATTGATTCAATCTAGTTTCAAGATCCAACACTAAAATGTACATTTCTACGTGGCAACAATTGAATGCTCGAGGGCGGCACAATTTTTTTTCCCGCATATAGTATGTGGTATTCAACTGCTATAAGACTTGATAGAACTACATACTTGCTTCTACATCGTATATGTATTTTGAATTTTGATAGTACAAATTGTAGAATAAATTGTATAGAGTTTGTATGAATCTAAAAAGAAGAAACCAGAAATTAGTCTAAGAAATCTCTTTATTTTATTCAATATAATGTATTCTCCATAGAGTCAAGAGGAATTGTGTAAGTGTAGAGAGAGTGAATGTGTGTGTAGTAGAAAGGGAGAGCACTCACCCCCCCCCCCCCCCCCCGGCATGAAGGGCTAGGGCCCTTTATATAGGCCCAAGAGCTAACCCGTGACTTTTTGACCATACCCAAACCGTTTAACCCCGACCCAACTACAAAACGAGAGCATGGGCGTATAGAGTGCGTATATTCCTTATCAAGAATAATCCAAACTCTTATATGAACACGGTGAATGCTTTAGCCTACGTTGAATACACATACAAGAGTTGAACTTTCTTCAATCGTTTAACTGCATTAACAACTTACTTGCAATGTCGTGTGCTTTACAAAGTTGTACATTATGTTTTAATAGAAATAAATTCGGTGAGAGTATAACTTTCAAAGTATAAAGTATTAATTTTACAAAACACACATTATTGTAAAATTTTTGTTAATAGTATTGTGTAGTACAAAAGTACAAAAATACAAAATATTCTGAATCGTGATAGTGTATTTCTTTTATTGTATAGTCACGTATTCTAACAAATGATACATAACATATTCACGGTGTTTGATACATATAGACACCACGGAATTTTCACCTAAAATCATCCTTCTAATGATCTTCATTTTGGAGCATTTGATCCAAATGCATCTGCCAAGTTGAAATTCAAGTTGCCTCTCATACTTCTGGCTGCAATTCCTACATTGCCCTTCCTCATCATTGTGGCAAACTCCCCATAGTCTATACGCCCATCCTATACACACAACCATAGTCACATTCATCTCTCAAGATAGAAGGGTAAAAAGTGTTTTCCAGAAGTAAAATCCATGCACTTGTAGTGATGTAATGAGAACAACTATGAATACAATGGCAAAAGAGTGCAGTACAGAAAGAT